TTGCTAGAATGCAGTGTATGGTCATGTTTCCATAGAAACTCAGAGAAAAGATATGATGGGTCAGTCTTGGTATTTCTGAAACCAGCAAGAGGTTTCTGAAGAGACAGCGTTGGAGCTCCACAGAAACCAGCATCGCCGGAGGAGGAGAGGAAACAGATCATGGGATACCTACATTGTAGGAGGAGATCTGCTCAGCCAGCCTTCTGTCTCTCTCGGAGGGGAACGCTTCTGCATCGTCCTTAGAGACGGGCTTTCTTCCTTCCTGCTGTTCCTGGAAGACCAGAAAGGGGGAAAAAAAGAAAAAGATGAGCTAGCAGGTACCCAAAGAAATGCACAAACCATGAAGACAATCTTGGTTAATCGAGGTCTTCTTTATGATATCTTAAGGCACCCACAGGACACTTTTGAGTCTCATGGTAGAAAAACCATGACTGCCCAGCTGAGGTTCACATCGTTTTATGACAGGAAAAAGAAAATTTTTATTTAGGGTATGCTGAGATTTTTATCTATTCATGCTGAGAATGTACCCAGCAGAGGGACGTTCTCAGCATAAGTAGGGTTGACTCAAAGGTTCCAGCTGAGAGATTTTGACTTTTTTAACCTGTCCAGGATCAACCCCCAAAAGCAAGGTGGGAAGCATGCTTTTAAAATTAAAATTCTAGAATTTTTAGATTTTTTTTTTTTTTTAGAATAGAATAGAGCTGGAAGGGACCTTCGAGGTCTTCTAGTCCAGCCCCCTGCTCGAACTGGAGAACCTGACCTATATCATCTCAGGCAACTGGCATGTACTTATGACGGTTGCAGTGTCCCAAGATCCCGTGATCCCCTTTTGTGACCTTCAGATGAGCAAATTCAAGTGGGGAAGCCAGATTCTCTTAACAACTGTGGTGAATTCATTTAACAACGGTGGCAAGAAAGGTTGTAAAATGGGGGCAAAACTCACTTGAATGACTGCCTCACTTAGCAACGGAAATGTTGGGCTCAATTGTGGTCATAAGTCAAGGGCAATAAGCTTTCTTTTTACAGATTCTGTAATGACCCAGGGTGGGGATACAAAACAAACAGTCACAGAAAACCCGGTGAAGCCCCTTTTATTCCTTCACTTTGCTTCCAAGATCCGAATATCCTTGACTGAAGACGAAAAACTCCCACACAAACAGTTACAAGAAGGAGGGAAAAAGCAACACAAACCAGGCAAGATAAGGGCTGGAGGACGTCCACAGATAACACACACTGGGAAGGACGCCAAACTCAGAGAGGAACCATAAACTAGAGATATTTCCACGCTTTGTTTCCAGCACTGGCCCATATGCATGTCCGACCTCTTATTCAGTTGTCACAGCTGCAGCCCATGAAGAGGATCAAGGCCCTTTCCTCCCCAATAGACCACATCTCTCCCTGATCCTCTCCTCCCTGCGTGCCCTAGGATGGATAGGGGATGGGCCTGGGTCCTCCTCTGACTGCCCAGCCGGCCTCTGCCCTTCCCCAGCCTCCTCCACAACCTCCGGAGCTGCACTCCCACTCCCTGTCTGGCTGTTCCTCCTCTCCCTCAGAGTCAGTCTCCACCAGGGGCATGACAGATTCACTAGATCTGAAGTGGATAGAGAAATGAGGCAGTGTTGAAAACTATTCCACAGGTGGGCTTATTCATGTGGACTGCGCACCCGTTTGGCCACATTCCTCTCCTGCGGAAAACCATTTGGAAGCATCTGAGAAAAACAGGGCTCAACCATTTGGCCTGTTCTGTAACGCCAGGCATGCTACAGCCTGCTAGATGTATGTAAAAAGCTAACATACAACAGCTTCTACTGTGTCAGGCATGGTGGGGGAATCGGACCGTCGTATGTACAGCATGTGAGGACCCAAAGGGGCGTGGCACAAAAGCAACAAAGTCACAAAAGTAGGTAAAGTCCCTTTAACTCCTCCAACTTGGCCCCTAATGTCCAGTTATCATCGGCTGGAGAAAAAATTCTCCCAAGAACAGTTTTTAAAGGAAAGAAACTCAGTCCGAACCCAAAGTATATCTAAATTATAAATAAAATCCAACACAAACCACACTGCAGCAATTAAAGAGACAGGGCAGGATAGGGAATTGCAGACTTCAAAAGATAACAAAACACACTCAGTTGGGAGGACGCTAGAACTCAGATAAGACTTGACAAACCAAAATAATTCACGCTTTGCTTCCAGCAAGGAGCTGTGTGCAAACACCCTTTATATCCTGTTTTCCCAGCTGCAGCTAATGAAGGGAATCAGGGCCCTTTTCTCCCCTTTAACCCACGTTGCTCCCTTATCTGTTCCTCCCTGCGTGCCCTAGGATGAAGAGAGGGTGGGCCTGGGTCTTCCTTTGAATGCCTAACTGGACTGGAACCACACTCCCACTCCCTGTCAGCTGTTCAACCTCCCCCTCGGAATCAGACTCCAACAGGGGCATGGCACAGGAACAGTTTGTTTTAATTATAAGTCAGCTTAAAATCTTGGGAGGAAAAGTAAAAGATACAATGCTACAGTGGGGGAATTTTTTTTAGTCATCATATAGAATTAAAGGACTGGCAAAATTTATGGGAAAGGAATTATAAATGAACAATGGCAACTTCGTATAAAGAAAACTTATATAAAATGTTTTATACATGGCACTTACCATCGGCTAGGTTAGCTAAAATGTTTACAAATATTGTCCAGCAAATGTTGGTAATGTAATCAAAAAATGGGCACATATTATCATATGTGGTGGACTTGTGATAAAGCAAGAAAATTTTGGGGGAAAAATACATAAATGGCTAGAAAAGATGATTGGAAAGCATGTAGATTTTAAACCTGAACTATTTTTATTAGGTACAAATATCAGGTAAACTTGAGAAGTATGAATTTAATATTGCATGTCTTGACAGCAGTGAGGATTGTATTTGCGCAATGCTGGAAAAATGAAGAAACACCACAAGACAAAGACATAACTAAGAAGATACTAGAGGGTGCAGAAATGGACAGATTGACATTAAAAATGAAACAGAAAAACAACAGAATATTATCAAACATGGGATCTATTTTATCAGTGGTTGGAAAAAAAGGGGGTGGAGATTAAGAACGTAATATGTATTGTTTAGCAAACTGAATACCCAGGCAGCATGATGTTTACTAAGTACTAAGAAATGTAATTAAGGAAAAAATAATAAAAATAATAATAATCTTGGGAGGAATGAGAAAATGGTCAATCCTCAAAGGTTCTTGGCTCAGCTGTCTCTTGGCAACAAAACTGCACTGCCAAATTGGAGGACATAAGTTGAGAGTTCACACAGCACAGAACCAGACTGTTAAGCCTGCAAAAGTAGGAACAAAACGACAAGTTTGCAGGAACTAATCTGGGTCAATCATTGGGACCAGAAGTTTTGCCTTCCGAACTTGTGCTGGAGCCCCCATCCTCATGGAACTTCTCTCTGCTGGAATGTGTCAAGGTGTGTGTGTGTGTGTGTGTGTGTGTGTGTGTGTGTTTCAGAGTGTCACCTGCTCTGCTAGAGAGAAGTTCCCTGAGGATGGGGGCTCCAGCACGAGTCTGAAAGCTTGGAAGGCAAACCATCTGGTTCCAGTGACCGACCCAGATTAGTTCCTGCATGTGATGACCCGGAGTGTAACACAAGCGTAACAAAATCCAAAACGTAGATAAATGTCCTTCAATGCCTCCAACTTGGCCCCACTGTTCAAATAATTCTCAGTTGGAGATAAAATTTATTCAAAAATAGTCTTCAACAGTAGGCAATACAGTCTGAACTTAATGAGCAGACAGAAGTGAAATAAAAAACTAAAACAAACTACAATGAGGGAAAGTCCACAACAGATCAAGATAAGTAATCACCAACTTTAAGGAGATAACAAGGCACAGTCTGTTGGAAAGACACCAACCAAGATAACTTCAGCCCAAAATAACACACACTTTGCTTCTGGCAACACTGTGTTTTAATCGTCTCTCTTATATACTAGTCTCCCCAGCTGCAACCAATGAGGGGGATCATGGCCGCCTCCTCTCTCGTAAGCCAAGTTGTTTCCTTCTCTGTTCCTCCCTGCATGTCCTAGGATGAAGAGGGGATGGGCCTGGTTCTTCCTGACTGCCCAGCCGGCCTCTGCCCTTCCCCAGCCTCCTCCACAACCACCAGAGCCACACCTCCGCTCCGTGTCGGCTGTTCCTCCTCTCCCTCAGAGTCCGACTCTAACAAGGGCATGACACGGCAACATCATCCCGGGACACATAGATTCGCCTCCATCCATAAAAGACAAGGTTCTTGAATTAAAGCAAAAGATGTTGATCAAATAAAATTTGCCTCCGTGATGAGTGGTAGCCAAGGACTCGCCCTTCAATTTTCAGAAAGTTTTTAAAACTATTTTGAAGAGTGTTTGATGACAGACAGGTGATTGTTGGTTGTGCTTGGAATGGCTGACATTGCTGGGATCAGTATTGGCTATATTGTGATTTTTTTTAATATGTATTTTTTTTAATTTCCTTCAAGATATTTAGTGAACACTACATTGTCTGGGTCAATTTACTTTATGCAAAATCTTGATATCAATGATGATGTTAATTAAACATACATAATAATACGCTTTCAGCTTCTGAAATTTACATATCCATTGTTATTGTAATGTATTCTATTTTGTGGCAGTATATAGTGTTTTTCAAATTTCTACTTTCTATGACTTATTACTAGCCTCTAATAAAACATTTCCCCTATTAAGAGGTATTATATATCTTTCCATCATCCCTTTTTACTTTTTAAGCCTCCATAATAGTAATCTTGACTTCTAACATTTACTTATACATATCAACTATAATAGCTTCTATCATATAACAATATGCATAATAACATTTTCGCAATGTTTAATTTCTAGCTCTATTTTTTAGTCTTTAATAATAGAAATCACAGATTAAGATGTCTCCATCCATTTCAAAGTCAGGAAAGCTGAAGGTCATAAAAGCATTTCTATCGAGTAAGAAACTATAAGCCAAAAGAAAAGTTTGAAAAGTTAAAATCCACGCTGGCGGCATGCATTTTAAACTTTCCAAATTATTATTATTTTTAAACTACTTATTTGCTGGGTAAGTACTGGATCTGCCAACCTACAAATATGAATGAAGAAGATTTTCACTGACAAACCATGCAGGAATACAGGCTTACCTTAGCTTTCTTTTCTTTATCGGCCGGCGTATCTGTCCAAATTGATCTGTCTCCAGAATTATCATTGGCTCTTCTTTTGAATGTCCGTGGACCAAAACCAAAGTTTTTGAGTTCTGGGGGGAGATCGATCATCCAAGATTCTCTTTTAGTTTGTTTGGACCCATCCTTTAAAAGGAAACAAAATTGAGAAGCATCTGTGAACAACTGACTGGCGAATGCCTTCATAACGCCGTTGGGTGTTTGAGAAAATATGTACACAACTCACATCCGCGTCTCCCAGAAGTTTCTCCTTCATTCTTCGAGCCCGATCTTCAATCTCAGCACCGGGGTTGGCCTTCACCGATCCCTTGGCTGGCATAGGACCAAATATATCTTCCTCTTCTTTGCTACTATCGCTTGCCTTTAGCGCAACACAGAATAAAGACAAAAATCCTGCCGGTTCAGCCAAATGGGAGGTTTTAAATAATACCAAATGTTTATGCAGCCCTTCGGCCTCTAAAGGTTCGCGTGCATCACAATCCTTACAAGACAAGGTGTTTTTATCATTTCTTAGCGGCTAAGAATATAGCACTGCTACCTGCAGTTTTCTGGTTTATGTTTGTTAAAAAAATAAGAGTGTCTTTTCAAGTGGAAATATCAACTCTTGTAAGATATACATAAGGTACAAACACACAATCTAGTCAAAGAGCAGTTTCCTGAGGATGGGCTCCAAAATGAGTCCAAAAACTTAGGAAAACTAAGCCTCTAGATTTGGTGACCGACCCAGATTGGATCCTGCAATATTATCCTGGGACATGTAGATTTGCCTTGATTTGTAAGGAATAAACTGTTCTCGTATCCTTGCTTGAAATCCTCCTCTTCCACAGCTTTTGCCAGAGTCTAAACTCAAGAGCCACGTATATATTTTTCAGAGACAATGGCATGAATGAATGAATGAATGAATGAATGATTGGCCAAGTGTGATTAGACACACAAGGAATTTGTCTTTGGTGCAAATGCTCTCAGTGTACATTTTGCGTCATTTTGAGGGTAAGAGTTGAAACAGTTTATGTCCGGGATGTGAGGGGTCTGTAAATATTTTCACAGCTCTCTTTTTGACTTATGCAGTATACAGGTCCTCCTCCATGGAAGGCAGGTTGGTAGCCATTGTTTTTTCTGCAGTCCTAATTGCTCTCTGGAGTCTGTGTCTGTCCTATTGGGTTGCAGAACCAAACCAGACAGTGATAGAGGTGCAGATGATAGACTCAATAATTCCTCTGTAGAACTGGATCAGCAGCTCCTTGGGCAGTTTGAGCTTTCTGAGTCGGTGCAGAAAGAACATTCTTTGTTCATTCATTCATTCTTGCCAGAGTCTAAACTCAAGAGCCACCCATTTATTTTTCAGAGACAACGGCATTAGTCTAGCATGACAATTGCCTGTGATTATATTGCTGTAATTGAGTTTCACAATTTTCTGTCTTCAGCTTAACTCCATCCTTTCAGATACAGTACTGAATTTCAGAAAGTTGTAGGATTGGGCACCTGCTGAGGTTCCTTGTCTCCATGAGAGCTGATGGGGTGGGAAGGTAACCAACAATCAAAAAGAAACCATAAAGTATTAGAAGCTAGTTCTTCCTATGAAGTGGCCTACCAGAAGAGTGCCACAGGGCCACAGCATGGTTCCTTTGGCCCTGAGAGTGATGGGTCACAAAAGGAAAAGAAAGGATGTTTGGGGTTCAGAGAAAGAACTATGAGAAGATAGGCATGTAAAATCATAACTGCCTTTCTTCAAATAAAGGCAATTTTTTTTCCAAAGCTTGCCTCACATTTCTAATATTTTTCAGCCTGTTACTATCATATGAGTGGGTTGTAGACACATCCTTAACATATCTTACCTTAACATAGGTATCTCCTACATATTTTAACGTCCATGAAAGTTAACAGTGAACTGAGAACACAAATCACCTGATAAACAAGGAGTAACATCTAAATCCATTGATTGATTAATCACCCAGAGTTCTTTCAAAGTTAGCAAAAAAGGAACTTGGGTCAAAATACGTTGCTCGACACCCATCCCACAAATAAAATGTTGAATTATTCACGTTTTGTGGCATTATTTCTCATACCTGGCTTTTGTTGCCTCGTTTTTCTTCAGCGTCTTCTGACGGTTTCTTAAAGCCCGGTGGCAAAGCAGGACCTATAATAGGTCTCAAGAATAGAATTAGATTTTAATAACATTCCCCCTACGCAGCGAATCAAGAATGGGCTCTTAAAGGTTGCTCTCAAGCTATTATTTGCAAGCAGGGGAGTTCACACCCCACTTACACACATCTGCCCCTGTGTCAGGATTCCGGCAGTTACTCCAATTAAATCATGAGCCTCGAGCCACACTCCAAAAACTAAAGAGGATTTATTGGAAGGTAACATTCTACATCCGGCATTAACCTGGGCGCGGCCAATTCTGAAATACGTAATTCACTGTCATCCTTGATCCTGCTTTCCCCCCCACCCCTCTGGGTGTATCATCCAACGAAACACGTCCATAGCCAAGAGTCATCAATCATGCTCTCCAATTAGATTTTTGCAGGGCAGAAGCTTCAATCATCTAATCAGTGTTTGAAGAAAGTATGAATGGAATGTACTTTCGATTCCACACTGCTGCCTGCTCTTTGAAACTCCCCCCTACTTTCTGTTGTCAACTATAAAATGTGTATACAAAATGTTTATGAGTTGACACCCTGCATACTTCTGCGATACAGCTGGTACTCGACTTACAACAGTTCATTTAGTGACCATTCGAAGTTGACAACGGCACTGGAAAAAAATGACTTATGACCATTTTTCATACTTTTGACCATTGCAGCATCCCCCACGGTCACGTGATTTACATTCGGATGCTTGACAATGTGACTCATATTTATGACGCTTGCAGTGTCCAGGGGTCATGTGATCCTGACAAAGCAAAGTCAATGGGGAAGCCAGTTTCACTTAACAACCGTGTTCCTAACCTTAACAACTGCAGTGACTCGCTTAACAAATGCGGCAAGAAAAATTGTAAAATGGGGCACAAAATGCACCTAACAAATTTCTCATTTAAGAGCATAAACTTTGGGCTCCCTTGTGGTCCTAAGTTACAGAGGAATTTAGTACTAATGTTTACAGAGGGAATTTAGCTTGCTTGCAGGAGCCATGGGTTCCTTGCCTGCTCCTTCAGTTAGCAGTTGGTGTGGTTCTAACATCCTTGGGTGAATTACCTTTCCGGTGACTCCTCTTGCTTTTTAAATCCAGGAGGAAGGGCAGGCCCAAAAAACCCATCCTCATCGTCTTCCTGAGATCTCCTCTGTTTCCTTTTTAGAGATAAGGAAAGCAGATATAAAGATATTTGAAATACGAAGAGCGGTTTGGCTTTCATCTCAAACACAGCGCAACAACTTTTTTATGCAGGGAATCTTCAAGGAAACTGCCTTCAGTCAATGAACAGCTGAGGGATGAACTGAAGGGAAAGTGGAGGAAGCTCAACTTTCTTTCCTGGAAGAAAAAGGCGCCCTAATTTTCATGTTTCTGCTTAAGAAAGAGGCAGGCTGATGAAGATGTTGCTGCATATGTCTGCAGAGAAGAGCAACAAGAATGATTAGGAGCCTGGAGGCTAAAACATATAAAGAATTGCTGGAATTTGGTATGTCTAGTTTAATGAATAAAGGACCAGGGGAGACAAGATAGCAGTCTTCCGATATTTGAAGGGCTGCCCCAAAGATGAGGGGGTCAATCTATTCTCCAAAGCACCTTAAGGCAGGACAAGAAGCAATGGGTAGAAACTAACCAAGGAGAGAAGCAGCCTGGAATTAAGGAAAAACTTCCTAATAGTGAGAACAATTAATCAGTGGAACAACTTGCCTCCAGAAGTTGTGAATGCTCCAACACTGGAAGTTTTTAAGAAGAAATTGGACAACCATTTGTCTGAAGTGCTATAGGGCAGGGGTCCCCAACCGCCGGTCCGCGGACCGGTACCGGTCCGCGGAACAAGCCTTACCGGGCCGCTGGTTGCTGGGCGCCGCCATCTTTTTTTTGGTAAAAAAGCGCTTCTGGTGAGCTTTTCCGGGTAGAAAGCTCACCGGAAGCGCCGTTTCGTCATAAAAAGATGGCGGCGCCCAGTTGACGCCGGTACCGGGCCGCGGCGCCCAGCTGATGTCGGAACCGGGCCGCGGCATCGAAAAGGTTGGGGATCCCTGCTATAGGGAATCCTGCCCGAGCATGGGGTTTGACTAGAAGGCCTCCAGGGTCCCTTCCAACTCTGTTATTCTATTATGTCTGTGGGTGATGATGTCATAAGTATGTGATGTTTATATAAGTTAGTGTGCTCCCCCCCCCCCCCCCCCCACAAAAAGGCATACTGTCATCAGGAGCAATAGTCAGAATGCAAAGTTTAGCTGTCACTGACATACTGACATCAACTGCCCCTTAAAATAACCGTTCCATACTTCGAAGCCAATGCACTAACCTGGGAACTGGGCTTGAATCTTCATCCTCTTCGGAATCAGACTCTGTCTCTCTGGCCATCTGAGCGGAGACCCGTTTCTGCTCATCATCAGAGTTTCCTGAGTTTCCCTTGAAGCCAGGAGGCAAGGCTGGTCCTGCAACTAAACTTTATTTTATCATTATATAATTCAGGTGAAATATTGTTTTCGGGGGGGACCATCCAACTGTTTTTTTTTAAGGAGATAAGAATAAAAATAGGCACGTTCTTCTGTGTGAGCACTGATTTATAGTCTCTTATGTTAGGCTAATGGATTGATTATAATCAATTGATTATAATACAATGACTAGGAGACTGGGAGTTCTAGTCCCACTTTATCCATGACAAGTGTGTGTATATGTGTGTGTGTGAGAGAGTGTGTGTGTGTGTGGGGGGGGTTGACCAATCACTGGGGGTTCTAGTCCGCCTTACCCGTGAAAGTCGGGGAGGAGGGGTGACTTTGGGCCAATCACTAGGAGACTGGGAGTTCTAGTCCCACTTTATCCATGATAGGTGTGTGTTGTACCTGATGATTCTTGACGAATATATCTTTTTTTTTTATGTACACCGAGAGCATTTCCACCAAGACAAATTCCTTGTGTGTCCAATCACACTTGGCCAATAAAAGAATTCTGTTCTGTTCTTATCTATCTATCTATCTATCTGATTTGATTGCTTATTGCACCCTATGACTATTATTGTTGTACCTGACGATT